CTAGGGCTATAGAACACCCGCGCACCCGGGCACCCTCCGGGCACCCCCGGGCACCTCCGGGCACCCCCGGGCACCTTGGCACCCCCAGCACCCGGGCACCCGAGCACCCTGGCACCCGGGCACCCAGTCCAGCCGCCGAAATTGGAGACGAACCTCACCTAACCATATGAATCCGCTAGGACCCCTACAGAGGCAAGCTCTGATTGGGGAAACTTTTGGCGCTCCGCGCGCATTTCTTGGATCTACGCTGGACCCCCCCCTGGCGGCAGAGCCGCGCGGAGGCGCCGCCAGGGGGGCCCAGCGCAGATCCAAGAAATCCGCGCGGACCTCCGCAAGTTTATGTTCATGCCCATTTTTGGTGCTTCGCCAGACGTAAGCCAGGCTGGCCCCCCAATGCCATACCGGGGCCGAGGACTACAAGCACAGTATAGTCCGACGCCCCACGGAGTTGCCCCGGGACCAGCTGCTCGGGGAGGAAGAAGAGTCGGGCCGGGCGAAAGGGGGGGATAGCAAAAGGGGGTTTGAGAATCAGCTCACGTAGCTGATTTTACCGGCGACTCCTGGCGCCGGGAGGCGCCCATGTATCGAGAAATGGGCCCGGCGGCGGGGCCGAAACCAGCTGCATACAGCAGATTTCGTACCCCCCCCTTTCCCAACCCCCCCCTTTCGCCCGACCCGAGAGAGGAGCGCGACCACTGAACTTCCTTCGCCCCGCCCCCCGAGGTCCATGAAGTCGCTGTCGGCGACGATGATCGCCGCCGCGCCGTCCGCCTGACGGCGGCTGGAGCGAGGAGCAGCGCGGGCACGCGACGGCCAGACATCGACACAGGGTGTCTGTGGGGTGCCCCAGAAGCCTCGCCTCTATCAGGGAGGCAGCGTGACCGAAACTGTGCCCGAAAAGCTGCCCCAGTGTGACCGGATTGTTTGGTTCGAACCCACGACGATTCACGATGGCAGTCCCAATTTCTGCCACACCACGTTCTCGGTCACAACTTCAAACACGTCTTTGGTCACCGATTTTGTTCGGCCACGTACCGTTCGGCCGATAGGTGCGCGGTGCCATGAGAGATGCCCCGTCCCACGAGCCCCCAGAGGCTCAAAACCTCCAAACTGGACGCCTGGCCTCTGTACAGTCATCACGCTGCCACCGGGAACGCCGAGAGAAAACGAGGAAACTGCTCTGCAGCGCCGGCACATGACAGGCAGAAACCGGCACAGCGTGTCCGTGAGATGCCCCACGTCGCCAGAGCCCCCAACCTACGTGCAGCCATCACGCTGCCACCGGGAACGCCGAGAATGATGGGCAAACTTTCAACCACCACTACCACATGCAGGACGGGGGGAAGGGAGGATGAGGGGGTCCTCCTCCTCCTCCTCCTCCTCCTCCTCCTCCTCCTCCTCCTCCTCCTCCCCCTCCTGCCTGTGGCAGTGGCGGCACAGGGCGCCCCCCCCCCGAGGGCAGACAAAAACGCCAGGGGGCTCTCCTGGCTGGCCACGGCCGGCCCCCGAGACAGCCCAGCAGGCTCCCCCGACCTCGGGGCCCGAGGAGCAGCCCCCGAGCGCGGCTGGCCAGGGCCATCCTGGGTCCTTTACCAGCCTGGAACACATCCCTGTCCCTATGCGGGGCATCTCCTCATCACGATGCCAATCTTAGGGATTCCCTTCTTTTCTGAGGGCGAATCCCAAAGATTGTCATCGCCTTTTGGCGTGTCAATCTTAGGGATAGGGATAGGTTCGAGGCTGGTAAGCCCTGGCATGGTGCATGCTGAAGGGGCCCTGGCATGGTGCATGCTTGCGAGAATGGCGCCAACGCGGCACGACGCACAGCTTGTCCAGCCCTGGGGGCCGGAAAGCTATGCAGCGTACCACCACCCCTGGGTCGAGGATCGGCGACGCCTCGAGAGGCGTTCAACGCGGTACGGTGCACACGTGTCGTCCGCGGAATGCTGAAGTGGCCCTGGGACCTGGTGGGCCCCCGAAACGGCAGGGCCGTTTTCTCACCGCTTCCGAAAAAAAACCCTTGAAAATGGAAGCGGCAAAAAAACGGCGACCGGAAACGGCAACAAAAACGGCTCCAGGATTGGCACCGGAGCGGGAACCCGCAAAAGAACGGCGTCGGAACCAGTAAAAAAACGGCGTCCGAACCGGCAACAAAAACGGCAAAACGGAACCGGTAAAGAAACGGCCCTGTCGTTTCCAGGGCCCACTAAGCCCTGGCATGGTGTATACTGAAGGGGCCCTTGGACACACAGATAAAAAGACACAGATGGCAGGATTCCCAATAGTTCCCTATATTTCCTGGGTCTTTGTTCCCCCCTCCCCCACACTTCCCACATTTCCCCTACACGTTCTGGGAGATCGACGAGTCGTTGTGTCTGTGTGTTCCTGCCCCTCCTGAGATACGCCCTCCTGGCCTCGGCCATACGGGCGTATAAACCATCCTAGGGCCCAGGATGGCCCTGGCCAAGCACGGTGGTGGTGTGTAAATGCCTTCGTCGGATCCGAGTGGCCTCGTCATTTCCCCCCGTCCCGCTAGCTTTCGCGCTGGTGCAGCCGACGGGAAACAACAACTATACCGAGTGCTCCTGGATACTCTCTGAGATCTGAGGAAGGCGCCAAACTCTAGAAAACTACGGTTTTCCAGACACGCACTGAAAAAATTGCACAGGAGGGCGGATCCTGGTGTATGCGGGATCCTGGTGTGTACACTTTCGATGTTTCCCAGGGGGAACGGCGAAAAACATATACACGACACCGCTCCGACGTCGTCCCCGACCCTCAAAAGGCCTGGGATTGAATAACAGCCCGCCGCTGGCAATGTATATGTCCTTGTTTCGGACTAAGAGGGCTTCAGATGATAAGCCAGAAACGAAGGACACCCCCGGAGCTCGGTCCTGCTTCCGGCAGGAATCCCCGCAGCGACCTGCCCGAGTTCGCAGCCTGTTCCAGCTGGCCCTTTCTGACTGTTTCCCAATAGCAAGTGTGCTGTTGAGCTTCCAAGAATGTATACTCCCAGAGCCTTCCCAGAGCTCCTTAAAAGGACCGCCCAGAAGCTTTTGTCGTCTCGCCATCCAGGTTCTGGACACCACAAGTGTAGCTCTTACGATCGAACCTGATGGGCCTGATTTCCACCATCACCACCAACCAGAAGCTGGAGGTGGGAAGGAGGTGGAGGACGAGGAGGAGGAGGAGGAGTAGGAGGACGAAGAGGAGGAGGAGGAGGAGGAGGAGGAGGAGGAGGAGGAGGAGGAGGAGGAGGAGGAGGAGGAGGAGGTGGAGGTGGAGGAGGAGGACGAAGAGGAGGAGGAGGAGGAGGAGGAGGAGGAGGAGGAGGAGGCTTTCGGCTTTCGGCTGCCGAGGCGCAGGTCTGTGACTAGCACCGAGCAGTGATGAGGGCCAGGGGTGAAGGCCTGGCGACTGGGGGTGCTCCGCGCACCGAAGACTGGCCTCCAGCGTTGTGGAGTATGAGCGGGAGGCCGACTCAGATTCAATCAGAGTCCGAAGCAGGCTCCGACGGGGCCTGAGACAAAACCGTGCTCGCAGCATTCGCTCGGGCATCGAGCGAGGCTGCCGAAGGCGGGCAAGGACGTGGTGTACGACGGGACGACGTCTCGACACGACCACCACAGTGTCTTTGCTCCATACTATCCTGGTTGGCCGAACACGCAGAGCTAGCCCTTGGTCCAGACGCCTCGGAAGACGGGAAACAAACGGCACCAGGCTCCGAACCAGAAACAAGGGCACCATCCCACGGACCCAAAACCTCGCCCGTTTTGGGGTGGCAACCTACCTCTGCGTGTCGCCAGTACATGCGGTGATTCTGAATCGTGCTGGCTACCTTGGCCTCCCCTTCGCACACTCGACCAAGCTTGCGGCATTTGCCGTCGGGGAGGATCCAGTATCCAGCGCACCTCTGACAGATGATCACCCTACCGTGGCGGACGGGCCTGTGGCCCAGAGCAGCGATGGCGTTCAACCCAGCCCCCACCGCGGCGTCGGGCACGGAAGGAGAGGAGGGGTCCTGGCCCAGCGAGGGAGGAACAGGGTCTGACACCGCGGGGCTGCTCGCAGTGTGGAGACGAGCCTGGGGTTCGGCAGAGAAAATGATGTCAGCGCGGCAGCGCTCCAGATCACTGCCCTGGCACCGCCTAGCAGCCCCACTGCACATCACTCGCAGTGTGGCTTCGCTCCTGGCCGACATATTACACTTCCTGCAGCGCCATTCAGCACGAGTCGGCAGGCGATAAATCTCGTGCTCCACGAGTGTCAAACTGATTCGCTCCACGGGCTGACCAACGGGGGTCATTGGGGGCTCAAACGCCTTGGAGTACTCCCCAATGATATGGACCGCGCGCGCCAAGAAACCCCAGGTGGCTTTGCTGGCCTTCAAATGGGCCTTCTCCGCGTCCAGACAAACCTGCGCGTACTGATGATCCTGGGCTCCAAGGCGCGCAAAAAAATCGGCCCAAGAGTTACCCAAGTAGCGGGTGATCTGTCCTTGCTCCAGAGCCATGACATCGTCGATGTCTCTGTGGGCAGGGACCCATTCAAACTCGGGCGGTGGCCTATGTTGCTCGAAGAGCTGGAAGATACGGCGCCACACATCCGCGTGTCGGGACAACCCACAGGCAAGCTGGGGGCTCCAGCTCTGGCCTTCCTGCACAAAGGCTAAATGATCACTATATATTGTGGTCGCCTGGGGGGCTACCGAGAAAGCCATCAAGCCCGCGCACCGCTCCGCACGGGGCACCGATTGGCGCCCAGGGAGCGGCCCAAACACCGCCCTCACGGGCAGCCCAGAGTCCGACAGCTCCACCGCGGCCCATCCACACCTGCGCAGTTCAGGGCTCGCGTTCGCGAGCCCCGAGCCGTCAGTGTAGATCCGCCGACCCCAGGGAAGATGCGTAGCCCCCCAGTGGAACACAGGGCTCTGCGTGGGTTGGGGCGAAAGCTTAATGGGATGGTAAGGCAGCCCGTACAGCTCCAGAGAATCCCACTCTGGGTCGCCTAGCCCATTGTCCCCAAGACCCCGCAGATACGCCCTGCGCTCCAAGACCTCCTCTGAAAGGGATTCAACAGGCAGCTCCTCAGGTGGGTGAAGGACCCCCTCACAGTTGTACAACTGGTGCCCCAACGTGCCAGCCTCCGAACTCTCACAAATCTCGCACTGGTGACTGTCAGAGATCCCAAGAGCCTTCTTTCTCGCTGGGGGCCACAATGCGGAGCCGAGCAATCTGCGGGCGCAGCCTCTATGGATCGGATTCTTCAAGCTGAGAACTGAGTTGCGAAGTGCTCGCCTCCAGACTCCATGAGGATTCCCAACTATGGGTTGCATGTGGCTGACAATGCGAAGCATCTGCCATCGTCCAATGCTCTGTCGCAGCAACAGCTTCACATCCCAAGGCGTAGTGGTAAGAAGGTTAACGAGGGTGCCCTGATCGTCGTATAGCATATGTGCCGACGCCATCTTCCAGTCCACCCTGTGCAGGCTGAGCGAAACCGCCGAGAGAGGCCCATTACATCTGGCCCACGTGAATTCACCATTCCAAGATTCCATCATGGCAGCCCACGCCCGCTGTAACTGACTGAGTGGTACCAATCCATCCCAAACTGTGATCGCGTATCTGCAGACTAGCTCGGTCGTGACATCGAAAACCGGGTCAAACCATTCATCGCTCTGAGTGGCAAGCCAAGCCGTAAGACTGGCGTGTGATTTGGCTCCCACCAAAGAGCCTGCCAGCGTGCGGAGCTTTGCCAGCGTGGCAGGGACGACGCCGCTAGCTCCCGCTCCATGTGCAGCAGCAGGCAACAGGCCCGTGCGCCACAGAGTGTGAACCTGGGCTCGGCCCCGTTGCAACGCCGCCAACTTGCCCCTCCTGGCCAGGACGCCCATGACACGCTTTCTCTCTTGAGTACGTCTGAGTCGCACCCCCGCAAGCTCGTGTCCTAGATTGCGCATGTGCTTGTGGCAGCGAAACCGAATAAGTCCACCAAGCTTCTTCGCCACTCGCGTCGCCGCAGTAGTGCCACCCACACAACCACTTTTGTCCACCTGAATGATGAGACCCAGTGGCTGCACCTGGCGAATAAACCATCGAACCGCATGAAATAGGACGACCGCCTGAGAAGGTTCTGCCCCAATCCATTGAAAGCTGACGTCATCCATCAAAGCCCGTGGCACCACATCCGCATACTTACTGCGTAGGGCCTCCAAGGACTGGCAGAGGAGCAGGTGGACCATGGCGCAGGCGTGAGAGCATCCCGCCAATATGCCCTGCGCGGAGGTGAATTTGGTGGACAATGACCCGTAAGCTCGCACCTGCCGTGGTGCCTGATATGTGTGAATCAGCATCCAAAGTAATCTCATCGGAAATTGCATCTTACTAGCCCTGTCAAGCAGCGCAGTAAATCGTATCGTCTCGAAACACTTGTACATGTCAATCAGTGCACTGACCGTATGCATGCCATTGAGCTTCGCCGTTTCCGCAGCTATGTTGTGTTGAAACGCAGCATCGGTAGAAGTCGCACCAGGCCTCGTGCCCCAAAAGGCGGTAGAAGGGTTGGCGAGCTCCCACTGCTTAGAGATCCGTCGTCGTAATCGGCTCCAAATGCGGACCACAGTATTGATGAGCGCAATGAGGCGGTGGCCCCCCGTGGGCTTGGGAAGCCTCACTAGCACCGTGGTGACCCTCTGCGTCGGCCAACACGCCAACTTCTCGCATTGCTGATAGAGAGATGCAAGGACGCCCAATCCCATGTCCGATACTTGGGTCAATGCGCGCGGTTGAATCGATACCTGCCCAAGCGCCGTGGTGGCTTTGAATCGTCTGAGGGTGTTACGAATGTCGTCGATTGTGATCTCGGGTAGCTCCTCCCAATCTGCTTGAACTGCCGGCGTGGCGACAGCTCGATCCTCATGAATGGTCCAGACACCCTTCCAAAACTCCAAGCATTCATCAGCCATGTGGTGCGGTTGGCCACGGTCCTTCTCGGCATACTGCAACGTGGAGGTGGAGGAGGAGGAGGCGGAGGTGGGGGAGGAGGACCCCTCCCCCTCCAGCACACAGTGGCTGTGGTGGAACAGCAGCCCATCGTAAGCGCTTCTACTTCGTCCGAAGGTGCACTCGGGCTCATCCGAGCCAGGCTCTGGGTCGGCGGCCTGCGTCTGGAGAAACGCTCTCTCTCTCTCTCTCGGTTTTGATGGGGACCGGGTCAGGGACCTCCTCCTCCTCCTCCTCCTCCTCCTCCTCCTCATCCTCCTCCCACCTCCTCCTCTTCCTCCCAGCTCCTCCTCCTCCTCCTCCTCCTCCTCTTCCTCCTCCTCCTCCTGCTCGTCCTCCTCCTCCTCCTCCTCCTCCTGCTCGTGCTCCGCCTCCGCCTCCTCCTCCTCTCCTCTTCCTCCTCCTTTTGTTTCCTCCTCCTCCTCCTCCTCCTCCTCGTCCTGTTTCCTCCCCCTCCTCCTCCTCTCCCCGATCGTTTCGGTGGTGGACCCCAGAAGCAAGAAGGGGCCCCAAAGACCGAAGCCAGATCCGCGGAGTCGGGGAAAAATGTCCACCCCCACCGTGCCGAGGCTACTGAGCGGAGGATCCTCAGGTCCCTTGGAAGCCTCAGCACTGATGAGCTCGTTCTCCTCATAACACAGAACGCGCCATTGCTCAGACGTTCATTGCCTGTGCATGCTTCGATGTCGTTCGTTCATTTTCGCAAGATTATAATTCAGGATGCTACTCGATGAACCTCGCCGAGGCAATGCACACGTCCGAGCGATGCCAAGAAACCACATGAGGTTGTCTCTTGCGGCGTGCCGCAGACAAGGCGTGAAACCCAAGCGCGGAGGAGGGGCTCGGCGAAGAAGCAAGTGGACGTGGTCTGCAAAGCGGGGGCAGCGCGTTGGTGTTTACACCAACGCGCAGTGAGAGCCCCTCAAACACATAGCTGCAAAACAGCACGGTGATCAGCAGCTTCTCTGAGAGTTGCAGCGACCGGAAAGCGGCACCATTGGCCTAAACACCACCATATGGGGAGGACGAGGGCGAGGACGACGAGGACGACGAGAACAAAAGAAATGGGAACGAGGAGAAAGAGAGGAGACTCCTCCTTTCCCGTCAGTCATCGTCGTCCTCCTCCTCCTCCTCCTCCCTGGTCAGGGGCGAGGCGCTGCTGATTCAAAACGAAGGCCCCGACTGCCATGTGATGGTTGGGCATGGTCCCAGCGCAGACCCCCGAGCACTAAGATGGTGCATCATACCAAACTCTCAACGCAAAGCAACACGATGCCGCGATGCGCAACGCTCGGGCCGGGCGAAAGGGGGGGGATAGCAAAGGGGGGGTTTGAGAATCAGCTCACGTAGCTGAGTTTCCCGGCGCCTCCCGGCGCCTGGAGGCGGCTGTGTATCGAGGAATGGGCCCCTGGGTGAGGCCGAAACCAGCTGCATGCAGCAAATTTCGTAACCCCCCCTTTCCCAATCCCCCCCTTTCGCCCGACCCGAAACGCCATGCGCAACGCAGTGCACAACGCCATGCACAACACAGACGGCGAGAAAGCAGCCCGGCCCAGCGGGGCGGCACCGGCAAGGGCCGCGTGGCGGCGACGGGCGCCCTCGATCCGACGGTCCGGGAATCAGGAGGCCACACGCGAACCCTACCCCTATCGGGGAGACGTAAGACCCGGGTACGGGGGACTCGGAAATCCCCGACGAGGTCGTCAAAAAAATGACGAGGCCGAGCCGCGTCGCGGTCGTCAAAAAACGATGGCGAACCCGAGTCCCGGCAAACCCGGGTCTTACGCTCCCCCGACCCTAGCCCCCACGAGTTCCGAGGGGGGGGGGGGGGGTCACTTCGCTTGGGAGCTCCCGAGCGAAGTGAACCCCACCCCTCCCCCTCGGAGATCGTGGGGAGTAGGGGCAGTGACGGACGAGCAACACACACCCATACCCATAGGGGAGTCGTTGAGAGGAGGACTGGCTATGGGTATGGGTGCGGGTTGTCGGACCCTGGGGAACGCTCCCGTTCGAGCGGGGACCCCCATCCGACAACACGCACCCATGGCCCTCTCCGACCACCCTATGGGTATGGGTTTGTTTTGTTGGTTCGTCAGGGTAGGGCTCGCACGAGGCCCCGGAAGAGTGCGGGGCCCAAGCCGGGGCGGCGGCGGGGGGGACCGCGAGCTGGACACCCGGCACGGGCGCCCCATTCCTGGCACCACGAGCACGTGGGCCCCCCCGGGTGCCCGGCAGCGGACAGGAGCGGAGCAGGTGCCGAGAGCACGGATCCACGGCGAGAGTCGCGGTGCCGGCCCTCCCGGCCTCCCACCCCTAGGGGGCCACATGCGAAGCCTACCCCTACCCCCCACGAGTTCCGAGGGGGAGGGTGGGGTTCACTTCGCTCGGGAGCTCACGAGCGAAGTGAACCCCACCCCTCCCCCTCGGAAATCGTGGGGGGGCAGTGGTTGGGTTCGCATGTGGCCCCCTGACCGCTCAGACAGCGGCAGCGCAGCGCACGAAGGTGAGAGAGGTTGCTGCTCACTGGCGTAAGGCCCAACAGAGGCGTCTCTAATCCGTGCCTCCTCGCTTCCCCTCCGCACTGCCAGATTATCACTGTTGTCGTCATCGTCGTCGCCCCTGTCGAGGTAGTTTGTTCATTCGATCCACGCTATCGGCCCCGCCGTCTCGGGATCCTCTTGTAGCTCTCCCTCAAACGAAGCCAGGACGAGGATACAACTCGGTGAGGATAACTCGAGAATCTCTGAGATCCGTCCGCTCTGGACAATGCCTCGGGCGCCGCGACCTTCTCAGAGCGCTCCGGATCGCTCTCAGAGCGCTCTGGACGCTCTGGAACGTACGTCCTAACCCCGTCCTCCTCCTCCTCCTCCTCCTCCTCCTCCTCCTCCTCATCCTCATCATCATCATCATCATCATCATCATCATCATCATCATCATCATCATCATCATCATCATCATCATCATCATCCTCATCCTCATCCTCATCCTCATCCTCATCCTCATCATCATCATCATCATAATCTTCTTATTACTCTCCTTCATCATCATCATCATCATCATCATCATCAGCATCATCATCATCATCATCATCATCATCATCGTCATCGTCATCCTCATAATCATCATCATCATCATCATCATCATCAGCATCCTCATCCTCATCCTCCTCCTCATCCTCACCCTCACCCTCATCCGCCTCCTCCTCCTCATCATCATCATCAGTATCATCAGCACCATCATAAGTATCAGTATCAGTATCAGTATCAATATCAGTATCATAATCAGTATCATCATCATCATCATCATCATCATCATCATCATCATCATCATCATCATCATCATCATCATCATCATCATCGTCATCGTCATCGTCATCATCCTCATCCCCATCCTCATCCTCATCCTCATCATCATCAGCATCAGCATCATCAGCATCAGCATCAGCATCATCATCATCCTCATCAGCATCTTCATCCTCATCAGCATGAGCATGAGCATTAGCATCAGCATCAGCATCACCACCATCACTATCACCATAACCATCACCATCACCATCACCACCACCATCACCATCACCATCATCATCATAATCATCATCATCCTGATCATCATGATCATGATCATGATCATGATCGTGATCATCATCAGCATCATCATCATCATCATGATCATGATCGTGATCATCAGCAACATCACTATCATCATCAGCATCAGCATCAGCATCAGCACCATCATCATCAACATCATCATCATCATCATCGTCATCATCATCATCATCATCATCACCATCACCATCACCATCACCATCACCATCATCATCATCATCATCATCATCATCACGGTAAATCCTGATCCGGTGCCGCGGCCTTCTCAGAGCGCCCCAGAGCGCTCTCAGAGCCCTCCGGGACGCTCTGAAACGGATTATCCTCGTCCTAGCCCCGTCCGATAGATGGGGTCGGAGGATCACGCCATCGCCGAGGTATCGCCGATGCACCAGCGATGCGATGGCGACGTCGCCGACGCACCGGCTCCGCCAGCGTGAAGAAGCGGGCTTCACATCGAGCCGCACCGCCGATGCATCGGCGCTGCGGCGCGAACCTCCAACAAAATCTACTCCGACACGGACCTGGTTCGGTTAGCCCCTTTCGACATCCTCCTCCTCATCCTCATCTTGTCGGCGCGCACAAGGAGGCAGGGGGAAGGGGGGAGGCTTCTTAGGAGCAAGCCGCTTCTTAGAAGGCGGCGGGCTTAATTACGTCTGTTCACAAGGCCCGCGCCTTCTAAGAAGCAGGGTTGCTTCTAAGAAGCCTTCCCCCCTCCCCCCCCCTCTGCGCGTGGCTGATCATCATCGTAATTAGTCTTATGTTGTTCCAATCCTACTTACGGAACGCATCCCAGAAATAATTTCGAGCACCCCGAAAAGCGTCAAAAGAGTGTCGAAACAGTGTCGGGCGAGTGTCTCTCAGGGCCCGACAGGTGAAGATCCTTGACTTTTGATACTCTTTTGGGCGCCCGAAATTCTGCCTGGTGATCAAGGCTAAAGTAGGTTGGAGCATCATCATCGTGGTCCTCCGCATCGTCGTAGCCCTCCTCCTCCTCCTCCTCCTCCTCCTCCTCCTCTTCAGCCTCTCCTCCCTGTCCTCGTCGTCGCCCCCCTCGTGCCCGCCCTCCCTCCTCCGCGTCGTCGCAGCCCTCTTCCCTGGGCAGCCCGGCCCTCCCTTCTGGCGCACTCCAGCAGGTTTGTGGCCGGGGCGATGGGCCTCGAGCGCATCACCTGGGGGGGGGCGCGAGAGAGAGAGAGAAGCACGAGGAGGGGGAGTGCGAGAGGCGAGAGGCGGGGGCGAGAGGAGGGGGCGCGAGAGGAGGAGGAAAAGGAGGCGATAGAGAGAGAGAGAGGCGAGAGAGAAAGAGAGAGGCGAGAGGAGGGGGGGCGAGAAGGCAGGAGGCGGGTGGGAGGCGAGGAGGGGTTGCCGCAAGTTGTGCGGGCGCTGTCCGGCGCCCGCCGCGTTCCCTCTCCCCCCCCTCCGCTCCTCTCCCCCCTCTCGCCTTTTTCCTTCGTCTCGCCGCAGGGTGTGCGCAGAGGAGGGGGGAGGCGAGAGAGAGAGAGAGGAGAAAGAAACCTGATCGGACAAGAATGGGAAGCGCCGATGTTGTCCATGGGGCTTGTAGGGGGGCCAAGAAGAAAGGGATGAGGGCGACAACTGCTAACTGGGCAGCGGATGTCGAGGATGGCGGCGTGGATGTCAGGGAGGGCAGCGAGGAGAGCAGAAGGACAAGGAGTGAGAAGACAAGCGCGAGGAGGAGCAAGAGATGTAGGAGGACGAATACAAGGAGGAACGAAGGGGAGGAGGAGAAGAAGGACGACGACGACGACGACGAAGAAGGACGGTAAGGAGCCCGACGAAAAGGACGTCGAAGAAGAGAGGGGTCCTCGTGATCTTTTGAGGCTACCCTGTGGGCTGTTGAGGCCGTCTGGGGCTATCTTGGGGCATCCTGGGGGCCTTTAGGGGGCCTGTTGCAGTTCTCTTGGGGGATGGATTTTCGGCTTGCGGTCCCCCTATTGGGCCTCTGTCTTGGGGTGCCCTTGAACCGTCATGGGCCCGTCTTGGGGCCCCTGCAGGGACCTCTTCGGCCATCTTGGATCGGTCTTAGGGGCCGTCTTGCAGCGCCGGGATGCCGAAACGGCGGCAACTCGAATATCGGCCCAAAAACGTAATAGGATGCACTGGTTCCTCATCGAGAACCAAAGAACGCCTAACTCTACTAGCACGATCAAGACGTGGCCTCATTTAGGTTCCAGTCTTCGCTTTGGGGGTACTACATCTGAGCGGTTTGGCTTCATACATCTGCAGAGAAGACCCTCTATTCCTGCTTTGTTCGGCCCCCCTAGGTTCGGTCACCTCCCAAAAGGTTCGGGGGTACATTTGTTTGATCAATGTGTTACTCTTGGTGCTCTCTTGGGCGGCCCGTTCGAAGCCTCTTGGCGCATCTTCGGGCCTCTTGGGAGCCTCGTGGGGACCTCTTCGGCCCGCTTGGGGGCTTTTCCGGGCGACCCGGGCCTCTTGGGGCGGAGGGCTCTGCTGTGGGTTCGCGCTCCCCTTCTCGGGTCTCTCCTGGGGCTGTCTCGGGTCCCTCTCAGGCCGTCTTGGGCGCCTCAGGCACCGTCTGGGGGCCATCGTGGGCCGTCTAGGGGCCCTCTTGGATGCCTCTTCGGCTATCGTGGAGCAGACTTGGGGGCCTCTTGGGCCGTCTTGGATCGTCGGGATGTCAGAAGGCTGAGAACTCGAACATCCGTCAAACACCGAAACAAGACATCCATGGATTTTGCCTCTGGGAGGCTTTTTTTCTTTTTGCTCTGCGCGATCTGTGGACGGCGGTTGTCGACAGGTGCCCGAACGGGGGCCTCACAATTGGAGACAACATGCCCGAACAAGCACCTGAAGGCCTGAGCAACAAAACAACGCCTCGCCACGCATACAGTCAACCCGTGGACTAAGGATGCGCGATAAGGACGCAAGGGCCTTGGACGCCCATGTTGCAGCTTTTCGAGCGGGGCGCGGCCAACGAGAGCGGCCAAGGAGGGGTCAAAGGGCAGATATGCAAGGGTACTGTTGGGAAAGTTATCCATCCTTACCTCGCCATCGCTCGGACGTCCATTCCCTGTGTTTTGTTCGGTTTCGTGCGTGGTTGTTTCGCCAAACGATAAAGGATGCTCCTCGACGGTCCTCGCCGAAGGAAAAATGCACACGTCCGAGCGATGCCAGGTTACTACGCGGGTCGACTGTGGATCGGTCCGTTCGGGTGGCGTGAAAGGCGAGCTGCGCAGGCGGCGGACCGCGAAGGCCTGCAGGCTTTTCCGAACTTTGGGTCTCACAGTCGGAGGCCTTGGCAAAAAAACCCGCGTGGATGGAAGACCTGCACACGGGGGCGCAGTCCGCTGGTAGACTAGACGGCGAGCGAGGGGGGGAAGTGAGAAGGGGCGGGCCTGCTCGGAAGTTTCGGAAGGCCCCTGGCCTTGTGAGAAGTGTTCTAAGCCTTCCCCGAATACAGAAAAAACAACGTCTCGGAGGGCGCGAGGGCATCTGAGAAGCCCCGCCGCCTTCTGAGAAGGCCTTCTCCTTCTCACTTCCCCCCCTCGCTCGCCGCTGGTAGACGGAACCCGTCCAAGTGGACGGACTGCCGCGCCCCTGGGCGACGGCTCCGCAGAAAATGTGCCCACGTCACCTCCAAGGGGGACACAAGCGTCCACCAGCATCTGCAGACAAAGGCGCAAACTTCTACTCGCATCCAAGCCTTGCAACACCCTGCAATAATCACTTACTAGCCGCGGGCTGCCATTGGCGGCTTCTTGAGGTTGCAGTGCTTGTGCTCGAGCCACTTGGCAACAGCAGGGAATGCAGCGGTCCTTTCTCCTAGAGCCTTGGCATTGGGGAACTTTGCAAAATCGTATTCGCCTAAGGTGGCCTTGAACGGGATCAGCGCCTGGGTGAGGATGAGGATGACCAAATCTGCCTTGGTCGGCGCGTCGAAACCGTTCACGAACCCACTTTCTGGAATGTACTTGCTCAGATGGGTCAGTGTCTTTTCCATGAAAGGAACCATCAAGGAACCGTCGTAACCACTAAGGACGATGCCTGCGCCAAGACCCATGGCATCCTCCAAAGCACCCTCGAACATGTCATCCTTGGCCTTCTGAACTGGGTTGACAGGCGGGTACGTTGGACCGATACCCATCAAGTAATCCTGGACCGCGGCGCTCTGGTTTATCTTGAGGCTACCATGAACTAATATTGGCAGACCGCAACCTTCCATACCCATCGCTTTGGCCGCTTTTGTGTGCTCGGATTCCATTGCCCCCGCCTTCGCCTTGTCGGCAACTGATGCACCATTGGCCTGAAACGGATACTCTACCACCTCGAGCTCGACGCCACCGACAGCAGCGATGAGCTTGCTCAACTCGCCCCGCCCACTGATATCGAAATAATGGAGGACGGGTTTACCCTCCGGAATGGCGCCAGAATTCTTACCTTTGGGCTCTTTAGCCTGTCCACATCCCATGTTGCCTGAATGGATGTGAAATATGACTCTTCGGGCGGCGTGGTCCAGAACGGCTTGAGCCAAAATGGCTACGGACCCCCGTCTGGGGAGCTTCTTGGGGGCCTCTTGGGGGCCTCTTTTGGGGCCTCCTGAGAGCCTCTCGGGGTGGAAGGCTCGGGTTTTCGGTGTGTGATACTTGGGCCCCTCTTGGGGCCGTCTTGGAAGCCCTCTCGGGCCGTCTTGGTCGCCTCTGGAGCCCTCTTAGGGCCCTCTTGGGGCCGCCGTGGGGCCGTCCTCGAGGCCTCTCGGGCTGTCTTGGAGCGGACATTGGGGCCTCTTGGGCTGTCGGCCGTGGAGCGTCGGGGAGCTGAAAAAGGCGAGAACTCGACAATCCTGCAAAAACCGAAGGGAAATCCATGATCCCTGCCTCCTGGGGCTCCTCAGGAGGCCTCCTGGGGCGCCTTGGAGGCCTCTGGGACAGTGAAGAGCTAATTCTGGGGTGATCTCGGACCGTTCTGGATCGTTCTCGCGGTCGGGAAGCGCCATTTCTGGCGATCCGGGACCGTCTTCGGGCGATCTTAGAGAGCCCCTGGCGCCCCGGCATTGCCCCCCGGGCCCCCATGCGCCGTCGATTCCTGGGCCCTGGGCCCCGGGACCTCGTACCCAGGGATCTGTATGAACAGAAAATTCCACATGTATATCGATATAGCCATAAAACAATCAGAATTCACACAAACATCAAGATCCGCCGTAGCCTCAAGGGTCAAACGCTGCCGCAAATGAAGCCATGGCGCAACCCGCGCGGGTGCGCTGCAGTGCCCCCCATGGCACCCGTGACAGCACGGCGGGCGGGAGGGGAACGGCCGAGAGCGGGGCGAGGGCGAGCGGGTGAGCCCGGGCGCCCGACGGCCCGGGAAGCAGTTCTCCGTACAGTCATCGGCCTGACCTAAGCTAGGGCTCCCAACTTCGCGCTTCGCGCTGCGCGAAGCGCGAAGCGCGAATAACTTCGCGCTCTCGCGCCGCCCTCCCAAAGGGAGAATAGGAGGACGAGGAGGAGGGGGAGAAGGAACGAGGACCGCGAAGCGCGAAGCGCGAATAACTTCGCGCCCTCGAGGGAGCCCTTGCCTAAGGAACGATGAATAAGGAAGGAAGCCCCTTTTTTCCCCAGGGAATATCGCATGAGAAGCGAGAAGTAATGCCTAACGCATAGGGGACGATGAATAACGCATGCGAACCTGAGGAACGACCGAGCCCCTTCTGAAAAGCAGATGCTCCTTATGCAAGCCGCTCACTGTGTGCCTTGCGTGACGACGACCGCTCGTCTCGAGCTCGCCTGGGCCGCCAAGAGTCTAAGCGGGTGGAGGAGCCAGTTCTTGACTCGTGTATATATTCGGGCGGCGGCCAATGACGTTCCCCGCTCAACCCTTCGAAGCCGGGGCGCCCTAAAGAAAAACTCCAGGAGGAGGAGCGTCGGGCTGCCACTGGAGAGAGGAACGAGCGAGGAAGAGGAGGGAAGGCTTGCGGCGCGCACTGAGGGGGCAGGGGGTCGGGGGAGGGCTCCTTGGAAGGAGGCTGCGTCTCAGAAGGCGCCGGCCCCACATTTATAGACAAGAACCACGCCCTCTTAAGAAGCAGGGTGCTTCTAAGAAGCCATCCCCCCTCCCCAATACCCCCCTCTGCGCGTGGCCGAGAGGGCGGAATGGAGGGAAGAGATTTAACCAATGAGCGTCGTGACGGCAACCGTGATAAGCCTTTCTAGACAAGCGCGTTCCACCACTCGCAAAACACCTACTCGCAACTGGCCTGGTGCTGCCATGCGGGATTCACGATACCTTAACTTGATACAGACATGTGTTTTTCAAACGTTTGCGAGTAGGCACTTTGCGTGTACAGTAGGAGCCCGACCGCAAGAAACCTTCCATAAGAAACCCAACCCTGAGACCCCAGGACGTCCATTGGTTTTTGGTGAGGGAGCGCTACGTACGCTCTGCATCGCAAAAGCAAGGGAACCCAAGAAACCCAGGGCACTCTTGAGACAAGCAGGGTGATTGTTGGCATGGGCCTCCACTGTAGTGGATCGCGCTCGGTGAGAGAGGGGGATGTCGGGGGCGCGCAAACATGGACTAGCGATCCATGGATTTGGTGCGCAGTCGCCGAATCCATGGATCGGGAGAGGCGCCCCCCCCAAAAGAAGGCCAGTGCCGCCTCGCTCGGAGGCGGACATCCGCGATTTCCCATGGAAACTGGACCCATCGCTAATCCACGCCCCCCTGATCCTGGGGAAACGAAACTCAAAGGTACCGATACCGCCACTCCCTGGACCTCTCCTGGGGTGCGTTCTGACCAGGATTTCGAGGCAAATCCAGCGGTGGTGACGAGGGAGGCCCAGGATGCCCAAAAACGGGGAAACCAGGAGAGGGTAGAGGCATGGGTACTGAGAGGTGGAGGGGAACCCGTAGCCGTCGTGACGGTGAAGGTGATGACCCTCTCGGCTGCCCGCGCGGATCTCCCGAGAGCCGCAGCTGGCCCTCCCTCCCTCCCACGTCATCTCCGACGGCGCACGCGAAGCGCGCTGAGGGGGCGGCGACCCGCAGGCAGCGCCGCGGGTGTGGGGAGAGAAGACCCGGCGCCGCTCCAAGCGACTCGCGCAAACCTCCGCACGAGGGAGGAAAGGGAAGAAAGAGGGGGGGCACGAGGAGGAGCACGATGGGCCAACCTTCCGCCACCACACCACAGGCAGGACGGGGGAGAGGGGAGGGGAGGT